AGGAGATCATTGGACATCCAGACAAAGTCGCTTTATCAGTAATCGTATGACATGCTTATCTACTTTTGTTATATTTTAGTTGGCATGTAATAGGGTTTATTAAAACACTATGAACAGTAATTAGATTAAACTGTTGTAAAATGATGAGATATTTGAACATCTCTTTTTTTTGTCTATTTAAGTTAATGTATGTTTTGTTTTTAAGGTATTAAATGTTTTTTAATGAAACAAAAATTTTACGAGTTATCAAATTAAGAATAGTAACATTAGTATGTGACATCTATATCTCGTATACGTACGAGTATACGGGAGATGGGTGTTACATTTATTGGTATAAGAGCTACAGGTTTAGCCGATTCTCTATAGAAAACGAGTGTAGTTTGATATAAAAATAGTTTACATGCCACTAAGATGTTAATGTTACTGATAGGGTATAGAATGAATATGAAATATGTCTCTCTTACTAACTTAAGTATGATTCTTATGAATGATGTGATAGATGTCAGATTCTACTAATTCAAGAAGAGTGGTTGGTCGAGAGAGTGGAGACGAATCAGGTAGTGTAAGCTATGAATAGAATAACGAACATCCGATTCCGTCTGAGAATGCTAGTGCACCGACACCTTAGGGTATGCCTGTTTCGGAGTTTGGAGCTTTCCTGCAAGCTCTTTACGCTATCTTGACAATGTTACAACCTCCATCACCTCCCCATTCTCCTCGAGTATCGCGAATGCTAATTCCAAAGGAGTTAAGAAGTTTAGGAGCTCCAGAGTTCAGGGGAGAAGAGAGTGAAGGTCCAATGGATGTAGATTTGTGGTTGAATGACGTTAAGGCAGTGTTGGAAAATCTACAATGCTCTGATCATGAAAAGTTGGGCGAAGCAGTATCATTACTCCAAGGTTCGGCTCGAGTATGATGGACAAATACGACGATGTATGTGTCACCCAAGAAAGTGAATTGGAAGTTCTTTCTAGAGGAGTTCAAGAACAAGTATATCGGGGAGTAGTTCATGAGGGTAATGTTGTTGAAGTTTCTTAGCTTGAAACAAGGTGATCGAGCGGTGCATGAGTATGATGCCGAATACAATAAGCTCAGCCGATATGCTAGAGAAGTTGTTCCTAATGTTAAAGCTAGTCGAGATTGGTTCATAGAGGGTCTGAGGCCTAAACTAAAAAGAGATGATGTTAGCGTTAAATTTATCAAGTTTGCAAGAAGTGATTAATAGAGCGAAGGCAATTGAAAGAGCTCAAGAGGAGACTCTAGTTACGGAACAGAATATATAGATGGGAAAAATGAGTGGGATGTCTTCATCTACATATTTTGCTAAGAGAGGAAAGGGATCCAATTCCTGATATCATGATAGAACGGAGGCTGTTGTAATTGCACAGAAGTCTAACCAGTCGCATTCTTTTGCTGCGAGCTCGGGTAGAGCTTTTAGAGAAAAAAATAACCCATGTCAGTTATGTGGTAAATTTCACCGGGGAGTGTATAGAGTGCTCTCTAGCTCTTGTTTTATTTTTGGAGGAACGGGTCATTATGCTAGGAGCTGTTCACAGAAGTCTGGGGAGAGATCAGTGCAATCTGAGAGATCTGTAGCAACACCTAGTAGATGTAGAGGAAGGTCAGGCGATCAATCTGAGGCCGGGAAAAGGCAAGAGACTCGGGGGCTGGCCCGAGTTTATAATATAAAAACCAATGAGGATCGAGATGATCTGGAGATCATAACAGGTACATTTCACCTTTTTGATGAGCCTGTTTTTGTTCTAGTCGACTCAGGTTCTTCACATTCATATATTAGTACTAAACTGATTAGAGTTAAAGGAATTCCTTTAGAACCAATTGCTAGTGAAATGAAAGCGATAAATCCCATGGGTCAAAGTGCAAGGGTAAGTGGGGGTGTAGAAAATGTCCAATTAAGATTCAAGGGGTAGTATTCTTGGCAAATTTGATGGAGTTGCCCTTTGATGAGTTTGAAATCATTTTGGGCATGGATTGGTTGTCTCCACATCATGGATGGGTAGATTATCGTCAAAAGCGATTATTCTTAAAGGATGCAGAAGGCTCTGAAATTGCGGTGATAGGGAGAAGGCACAGTCCATGTCAAATGTGTTATCAACTATGACCGCAAAGAAAATGATGTCAAAAGGATGCGTTGCTTTTCTTGCTAGCGTGATAGACACTCGATTATCGGGTGTGCGACTGCATGATATTCCCACAGTTAGGGAGTTTGCAAAGGTATGTCTAATCAGTAATCATTCCCCTACTGTACCACCTCTCTCTATTTCTTTATGTTGCTTGAACATATTTTATTGTGCCATTTCTGCTACAAATGCGCTTTCTTTGTGAGTTCCTGCAGGATTGCCAAAGCATGGTTTTCTACTATATCATGGAGATCAGTATGTCCGCTTCCGCGTTAATCTGCCAACGTAAGCTTCCTTTAGCTTTTTCCTACTTACATTATTGGTTGGGTGTTTCTAAATTTATTACTGATGATGTTATGTTCAGGATAGCATTGTACCAAATTAGTCTATATGCTGTAACTTATCAAGTTATCATGTTAGGAACTAGGACGACTTATGTCTCTGAAAGGTTTTCGATGGCTCTTAACTTGAAGTATGGCTACTGTGTGTTGTTTCTGCAGATCGGAGATTTTGGATTATCAAAGAATGCATATGTAAAATTGGTCATTTTGAAGATGTTTACTGCTTTAGGCATTTACTCAGAAAGTTTTGAGAAGCCTTTCCTAGAGTGCACATCCGAGTTTTATGCAGCTGAAAGAATGAAATACATGCAACAATCAGATGTTCCAGTTTACTTGAAGCATGTAGAGATACCTCTTCATATTTCACTTTCTCAGTTAGCAGTGATTGTTACTCTGTATTTTGAATTGTGCATGTTTTATCCTTCTAAAAAGAATGTTAAATTTGTCACATTATTCCATATATATGGAATTTGAATGTTTATCCATCTACAATTTTTGTGTGAGTTTATGTAACTTTTTGTGTGTATTGATGCAGATGAGGTTACATGAAGAAAACGAAAGATGTTTACTCTACATGGATGATATTACAAGAAAGCCACTTATAGCAACAGGAGAAGGGACACCGCAAAGAATACACGGATGATGACATTGATAATATTCGCAAAGAATGGGTATCTTATGTCCCAAACTTTATTATGCCGTGATATTTTGTATCGACATATGATTACAATATTTTTGATAGCTTAATGTGAATATGTTGTATACAAATGGATTGCTTATATATAATATGATATATATTTAGTATTATGAGGTATTAAATGTGATTTAGTTTGATTATTTGTCAATCTACAATATATATAAATATATATATAATTCACGAAATACAATCACGACACACGAATGTGTCATTTTCATTTATGACGGGGGCTTTAATGACATGCAATATAAGTCATAAATGCGTGTCATAAATTTATGACACACAAATGTGTCATCTTCATTTATGACGAGGGCTTCAATGACGCGCAATGTAAGTCATAAATGCGCGTCATAAATGCACGTCATAAATTTATGACGCACAATTGCGCGTCATCTTAAATTCATGTCGGTGGCTTCAACGACAGGCAAATGTGTGTCATCCGCACCCATAGATGACGCGCAATGAGCGTCATTAAAGAGGTTTTTTCTACTAGTGTTTGTTTTCATTCCTACTTTAGGTTTAGGTTTCTATGAAAGGTTGTAATATAGGGGGATGTTCTTAGGTTGTACTCTATGTTTATATTAATAAAATTTGGGCACTCTTTTCCTCCTTCCAATGCCCGTTAAGATACCTTGTAGCTTAACGGTTATGAAGGGGGGTTTAACGAGGCTTCTTATAAAAGAAAAAAATAACTGATGTTCATTTCGGAAATGAATATGCATAAAAAATTTCATGTGGAACGTAAAGAATATATATCTACAAAACATAGGTTCTCTGAGCAGAGTTACCCCTCTACGCACTAATTTGACAGTTAAATTCCATCCTAAAAAGTAAAAACTATCATATACATCAATTTTTGATACATTCCAGTACACTTCTGTTGCAATCAAGCTAGCCAGTGTCGCATACCACCAGATGAAAACAACTTTCTCAAACTATGGTTCAGACTCTATATCAGTCAACCTTTAAAACATTCTAATTGAGTCCTCAAACTATCATCTTGGTTCTCTCATTTTACCCACCAACTTGGTTATCTCAGTTTAACCATCAACTTGGATGCTAAATGCAGATTAGATTTTATGCAGACCATATTTGAGACACGTGAATCAAATTTTAAACGTTGCACTTACTGCAGGGACAATTTGGATCTGATGTGTTGAGATAAAAGAAATAATCCAATCAGATTTTAGTGACCTTTTTTTAAATATCAGATCCAAACAGTCCATGTAGCAGGTGCACACGTGTTTAATATTCTAAATATGCTCCACTGCAGATCCATAGACATTTAATGCTCAAGCAAATTACTAGACTAATGAAGGGACCTAATTGAAAAGCTGTTGATAATTTGGGAACTTAATAAGAATTTTTTCAACTTTGAGAACAAATTTAGTACCTAGAGTCTGGACATAGGTTTGGGAATGTTAAGTGCAATTAACCCGATGGAACTCTAATGAGTTAAAATGATCACTTCCATTCGAACTAAATATCAGCAATAGAGAATCGGAGGTAAGATAACAACATATGTAAGACAACCTTATCTTAACTATTCCCCAAAGGTTAGATATAATTATAGGCAGTCCCTCTACTGTCTTAAAATTTGAGATTAAATCCCTCAACTTCAATTCAACATAATTTAACCCGTCCACTTCTACAATATAATATATCCAAGCTGATAAGACCGTTAGTTGTCATTAAAGTCAAAATATTTAGAACCAACTTTGTGATCGGAAAAAAAATAATGTCAACACTTTAACGGCAACAACTAACAATGTTATCAATTTATACTTACTAGTAAATTATAAAAATAGGACCAAATTATACCAACCTAAAGTAGAATGATCAAATCCCAAATTTCAGTATGGTAGAGGGATTAAAACCATACTGTTAGAAAACTACAAATGGAAGATACTGAGAGGTCTGTTTGTTCTTGAATCACTTCAAACACAACTTAGCAATACCATTACATAAAACAATGCAAAATGATGTTAACAAGTAAATAGATATCAGACCAAAGTTTGCATGGTACCTCTGTTCAGCCTGAAGGGACAACTAATTGGAAGTTAGATAAAATCCACAATAAGCAGGTAACCTCCTCAACCTGCTTGCTTTGAGACTGCAACTACATTCACAGTTATGTCATAAAGGATTCCAGGCCTAATTATAGCTTGGATCACTTGGACCATAATAAAAATAAAAATAGCAAAGTACAAATCAACTCTCATTTCTTCAGGAGACATTTCAATAACTGACTAACCAAGTAAACAAAATCAATCAAGTACAAAAGAGAACCTAAGAGTAAAAAAGAGTTTAAATATTTTTTTTTGATACACAAGAGTCTAAATATTAATAATCAAGAGAGAACTTAGAAAAAAGAAAGAAAGAGAAAACTCGATATAAATCATAATCTCAAATCACCAACCCTTCCACAACCCATTTTCTTCCATAATTTAAGGCATTTTTTCTCCTGTGACTGTGGTTAAGAGGGATAGGCAGCAAGATTAATATTTTTGTCCCAGAAATCATAAAGGCATGTTATACATCAAAATAAAATAAAATCAATCATCTGTTAGGAAGTACAAGCCTACCGTTTAGTAAGACCAGAAAAAAGGGCATAAAATAAAATGTTCTTGAACTTAATCAATGAATGAATAACTTGTCCACGGTTACAAACAGTAAAAAAACAAATTAACTGTTTTATGTTGTCAAATAAATAAACAAATAAATAACTTGAATTTATCAAAAATAGCTTGGAAGCCAACCCTGTAGTTTGACAATTACAAATTGGATTTTTTTCACTTTGTTCCCAAGTCACACACAATTACAAAATAACAAATCTTGAACAACTAATAACAGTGGAGAGGAACATTTACAACATCTCAACTCTTGGAAGCTTCTTTTCAACTCAAGAAAATACTGTAGTAAAAAACCATATACACGACATTCACATAGTAGCTATTCCAGGTCATGGAAACTCTCCTTCACTATCCAACACAACTAAAAATAATAATCCCATAAGTTTAAGATGTAAACCTAATATAGTTAAGTTGGCACTGCAATTTTTAAACAGCAAGGGCAATCCCTCATAGGAACATTCCACATATACTGAGTTAATAAATTACCTTTGATATATAATGGTTATTGTCAATTTCTCCATCAATGAAAGGCAAAGAATGTCCTCCCCACTCCACACCAACTGTCTCTTGCAAACATAATATCAATATTAAAAAAGATGGATTGCCGGTTGGAAGAAGCCATATTTTTTAAATATTCAAAACCAGCTATAAAATGAAGGTTTACATCATTGTTCCAATAAAAAATATGTTACACGAGTCTCAGCTGAAACTGAATTCTAAATGAAGAAAGTCTGATATGCCACACCTTGCAATGCAAGCAGTGTCAGATGCATTTTCATATGATGAACAAAGCTGGAAATCAAATTAACCTGCAAATATCTGGCTCACAGGTAGAGGAAAACAATATCTCCATCTAAATCAACACCAGTGCCAGCTCAAAAACAGCAAGAATGGTCTTCTGAAAAAAAAAGTTCGCAACTTCCGTTGAATGCACGTCTCACCTCAATCATGGCTCCCTAAAAATAATGTGAAAATTCTAAAACATGATCAAATGGCACTGCTGGATGAACTTTCTCTTAGCCAAACAAACCACCAGTCCCCAATTCCCTTTGTTGCCACTCATTTTTACGTTGCTCTTGCAAAGGATCTGGACTATTCAGCACTCTTCTCAACCGCCTAACATGAAGCAAAAGACCTTATTCAAACCTTCAATAATAAATATAACCCAAACTACAAAAATAAAGCAGTACTCATGATGTCTTTTTGTTTCTGTTGCTCAATACCTGTCTTGAGCATGATGTGCAGGGAAAGTGGGCATGAAAGCTTTGGTCTTGGGAAGAGGAACTTCACGAAACCAATCATGGTTAAGAGCATCTTCCGCCGTTATATGCTGAAAGAAATGACAGAAGCCTCAATCAACCATACAAAAAAAGGCATAATGATATGGTAAGGTAACTAGAATAAATACAAAAGCCAAGTTACCTTCTCAGGATCATAAGTAAGAAGTTTATTCAGCAAGTCAAATCCAGCATCGGAGAGAACAGGTGTACCAATGAATGATGCAGCTGGAAACTTTTTACGCAATAGATTATACCTGAAAGGAAATACATCAATAATTAATACAATAAAAAAATGGTGTTTCTAAACTGTCACCAATGTAGGCCAGAAAGCCAGAACTGAATCACCCAAAGCTGTGCAAGCCTGGGAAAACACGGGGGAAAATAAGACAACATGAATATTACACCCAACTGAATCTAAAATCAAACTATATAGATTTAATACTTACTGATGGTTGACAAAATTGACCTTGCACCAGGCAACTTTGAAAAACCAGGCCACATTGTCTCATTTGGTGTGCCAAGTGTTCTGAAAATCTGCAATCAGTAAAATCCATGCGTCAAATCCAAGATCATTAACCACCACGGGCAGATTGAACTACTCCAGAAATAGTGCGTCCAGATGGTAATGATTAACTAAAAGTTAGACCAACTAATTTAATTCACCTTGTCAAGTTGATCAAATTCGGTTTTCCCACTGAAAAGTGCTTCTTTCGGTAGTAGTTCAGCCATGATACAACCTAGAGACCACATGTCAATAGCGGTGGAATATTGTCCTGCTCCCAAAAGAAGTTCTGGTGCCCTGCAAAACCAACATAAAGAAGTCCTTTTGTTAACAGATATATTACTCTTCAGCTTTAACAGACATGTTACTATTCAGCATTTAACAAATAACAATAACAAAAAGAGGGATCGAAGACATGCAGTCTCACCTGTACCAAAGAGTAACCAGTAAATGAGTATATGGTTTTAACGGGCTCCCATATTGAAGAGCCAACCCAAAATCACAAATCTTCAATTCACCTTGGTTATTTAAAAGCAGATTAGATGTCTTCAAATCTTGATGGAGAACCTAGTTATCATGAAGATACTTAACACCCTCCAGTAGCTGTAGCATCAAGCATTTAACCTCACTTTGACTGAATGGTTGTTTCATTGTTTCCATCAGCGCTTTCAGATCATGTTCCATGTATTCCATCACCATAAAGATGTTATCAAGGTTACTACTGCCTACAACTACTTCTTTAACATCTGCAATTGACGGGTGATTAAATGAAAGAAGAAAGTTTATTTCCCTCAGAGAGGTCAAAGGAAAACCTTCTCTTTCTTTCTCCATCTTTACCTTCTTCAATACCACAATTTCCCCGGTCTTCTTGTCCTTAGCTCTATACACAACACCATAAGTACCTTCATCTATCTTATTTAGTCTCTGAAATTCATCTACACTTTTACATCCCTGAAGCATGTTTACAGTTCTTAAAGGAGGAGCTGGAGGTTCTGGTGTTCCAGGTGAATCGTTTTCACTCTCAGAATCTGTATCAGACTCCCTAACACTAATGTCATTTCTATCACGTTCAACGTCAATCTCCATGTAGTCATCCTTCACTGAATAATTACCAGGGTAATCATCCCCACTTCCAGACCTAGAACGGGCAGCTTGTTCATCAGATTCAGATGATCTGGATTTAATTGCCTCAGAGCCTTCCCTGTTAGGCTCCCCAAGCTCTGGGGTTGCTGAATTGTTCCAAGATCTTTTATGAGCAGATTCTGAAAGAGGCAACTTTTTCTTTGTTTTAGGAATTTCCATATCTTCAAAAATTTCACCCTCATCACCTGGTGAACTATCACCAGATGCCCATCTTGAGGAAGATATATGTCGGGTCAGTACATAATCTTCATCTTCTGGCTGCCCAGCATCCTGATTGTTAACCTGGTCTTCTGGTGGGGATAAAACTAAATCATTCGGAGACTCTAAAGCAGAGTATCCAACAATTTTAGCATCAGCAACCGGTAAAGGAGACTGTGATATCTGGATTTTGCTTTCTCTAACAAGAGATGTATGTACAGTCCCACCAGAGTTATTGTTAGGTGAGCTGCTATTAGCTTTAGGCACCGCTGGTGGAGGAAAGGCTGTGACTGCTGATGAATTCCTATGTTTTGATACACTACTTAATTCATTGCCATCTATATCCCATACTATAGGTGAAAACATCCTTTTCTTCCCTACAGGAGACTGAGCCCCATTATCCATTGCTTTCGCAACCTCACTATTTTTAACCACAGACTCAGACTCTATGGCATCCTCTGATCCACTTTCACTAGACAATTCACCAGGCTCTTTATCTACCACCTTAAGGGAAAACCCACATCGCCTGGGTCCACGAATACCTCCACCAACACCAGCATTGCCACCAGAATCACTTTCACTCGAAGAGGATCAACTGCCACCATTTACGACTGCCCTCTCCTTGATATCATATTCTCTTACCCTAACTCTATCTCTTGCCTCCCATACTCGAAAACTTTCATCATTACGGCTATCATTCCTAGATGACTCATAATCTTTAGAATTACCAAATTCCCGTCACGTCGTCTTAAATTCAGACTCCCTGTTCCTAAAACCATTATCATGTTAACCCCCCGTTCCTCCCAGCAGCCATGAATAAACCTCAAATAGTCAGAAACCCAATTTCCAATTTCAAGAAATTCCCTCTGAATTATTTCCTTATAAACCCTAAACCCTCAAAAACAACAAGATTAGTCTAATTTTTATGGGGGAAAAAACGAAACCAAAAATCTAGGGTAATCAATACGAAATCATCCAATAACAAGAAACCAAAACAACCAACCCAAAGAAAAGTATCAGATCTTCGATTTCGTGCTGAGAAGCTCGAAGATATTCAGATCAATAGAAATTAAAAGCAAAAGACGAAGAGGGTAAACTTAGAAATATTCGTAAAAAGTTTTCAAAGACGCATGGATTTTCCTCAAATCTCTTAAGAGATTTAAGCGAAAAATAGAGAGTATCTACGGCTTACCGATGAAGGAAAAAAACTGGACGTAAAAGATGAATGTCGGCGATCGCCGGTTCGCATAGGGGGTAAAGAGAGAGAAAACAAAGCTTTCGATTTTTATGAAACGAAACGCAATGTTTTTTTTTGGGTAAACTACACTGGTCACTGATGTTTAGATAAATTTATTTTTTTTACTATTGAAGTTTAAAATATTAAATTATATTCATTAACAATGATCACCATCAACTCTGAAAAATTGATAATATTATGGGTAAATTACACCGTTCTTTATTGTACTTTACTCTCTCCTATTTTGTTCACTGTACTTTTAATTTTTTTAATTTACTCATTGAACTTTATACATTGAAAAAATTTG